GAGTGTATATACAATTTTTCGAAATGAAGTCTTTTTAACGATTTAATCGACCATTTGATCATTTTCACGTCATTTTGCCAAAAAATGCCCCCTAGCACCTAAACGGTACAAGATAGAGGCAAACGGACGAAATTTTCGCCCATAGGGCTCTACTTTGACGAGTTACCCCTTAGGAACCCATAAAAAAATATTTGATAAAAATACATATTGCGACCTGTAGTTTTTGATTTTTTAAGAAGCCAATTTTTGAGCTAGAATGCTCATCTTCGAACTCGATCTGTCTTTTTATGATACAAAACGACCCTGAAAATCCCAGGTCGCTATCTCAATTCTTTCTCGAGTTATAGTGCGGACAGACATACAGACAAACAAACAAACAAACAGAATGAAACTTTTCCGGTCAGTGGAGTTATGGGCTTCGCTAATCGCTCAGCCAAAAATCCAGGACAATTTTATCCACCCATGTTCCAGTAATTTTTTGCCTCTGGGTTGTTTTTCCTCTTTTACCTACCCACTGGGTGTGTGAAACGTTAAAGAAAGAGTTCAAATTTCTGATATCATGGTGATACAAAACTACTCTGTTGGGCAGTGACTACGACATTCTACAGTGGTATAGTAAATTTCCCCTAGCCTGTGGAAACGTGTGTTTTTAACACTAACAAGGGTTAATTTTACACCTGTACTTTATAGGTTAATTTACACCAAAAGTAGATAGAACATCCTGAGTGGACCGCGTATTGCCATCCCGTCGCACCATCGTCTCTTGCGCGTGAGGACGCCGTGAGGACCTGGCGACTGTCTAGCGACCGCAATCGAACGATACAGTCGCGAGAGGGTGGACAGGTGGACAGGTAACGGACAGATATGAACCGGACAAAAAAACGCCTGTACAATGTGTGTCAAAAACCGACAGATGTCTTACCATCTTTAGACAAGGCGGAGTCGTCTGTTTCGTGTCCAATCTGTCCAACCTTTGTCCTTCAACACGTCGTCTGACCCGATGTCCGACGAGTGTCCGTACTGTCCGGAACCTGTCCAGGCTGTTTGCTAAAATCTAATGCGTGTCGGATTCCGGTCCACCCTTCTTCTGTCCAATTTCCGGCCTCCCTGTCCGATCACTGTCCTACTCGTCTGATTCTTTGTCCGAAGTGTGTCCGAAACCTGTCTAGGCTGTCTGCTAAAAAGTCCAATGCGTGTGCACATGGGGGCTTAAGACACAGATATATGTTCTCCCTTCAGTACACCACTTTGGTTGCATTGGTGCTTAAAATCTGCGTCTTTTTCTGTTACATGACAACACATAATAAAATACGTGTCATATATTGTATCAGATGTTGAGAAGAAACAGTTTTCATGAGGAACACAATAAGTATGGAATAGCTTGATATTAACAGCTAAGGTACTTAACAATGTTTTTGAACTTTTTGATATTTTTACTTTATTACATGTATAATTCTCCCTGCATTTCCACAGCTTGTATGTGAAAAACAAGAAGGGAACAGTTAAAGTAAGCAGAAAAAAATTATCTCTTCTATTGAGCTAATAAATGCTCGGTGAGAATGCCAGATGGACATAAAGCAGCACGCATTAACATTGAAAGACTGTAATGTTACTACAATAGGCAGTTTTTATGAAATATATAGGCAATAGTCACAAATAAGACAGAAAATTTGCATGCCATAGACGATAAACACTATAACAAAGGTCAGAAAGCCATGCCAAACACAAACTGTCGAAAGGATGAGGATACTGACGGCATGGCTTGACAGAAGCTTTACTAAACACCTGTGCTTACTCGGTTCATCACTACATATCACAGAGAAAATAAAAAGGCATAACCCTTCAGTAGCACAGCTACACACACACGATAATAAAAAAAATGGTCACAATTTTTGAATAACAATATGCAATGACACAACACATCCAAATATGATAATTTGCTCAGTGCCAAATTAGCATACACAGGCAAAAATTTTCTTAAAAAAAGAATAGACAGATAAAAAAACAACAACATAAAAACATCAACACTTATAGACATAGTACCCAGTATGGGTGGTGAAAATCCTAGGTACAACTCAAGTTTATGACAGTGGCGAATAAATTTCATCCAAATTTAATATTACAGTTCCATACAGAACAGTCAATAACCCCATTTTATAAAAAAATTAAACACTTGAAAATTATAATAGTTAACTGTTATGGTTAACTATAGCATCATTCACTGTCACTGCTACTACTGCCACTTTCTGATTCATCAGAAACAGGCAGAGGAAATTGAACATTGTTGTTTTCATCAGTGCTTTGCAAATCAGACTCATCACCATGATCTTGTTCCATGACGTAATCTTCCCCTCCTACTGAACCACTCCCATCCTCTTTTTTCTTCGAACTTGTCTTCTCCATGATGTGGAGTACTTTTCTCAAAAAAAAATCTCAGGAGGGTGAGGGCACTGTATTTCGTCCCAGCAAGATCCGTTTGATTATTGTTATTGTTGTACTGTTTATATGCTTTAGACAACTCACTGGACCGCCACCTCAATGTGTTTAAGACATGACACAAGTCGGAAAGTCGACCTTCATCAAACACATATCTGGGATTACTAACTTTTTTTGGCATCA